AATAAATAATTATAATTTAGTTTTTATTTTTTATATTTAATTTTTATTTATAATAATTTAAATATAAATTTAATAAATTTATAATATAATAAATTTATTTATCGCAGGGGTAATATTTCTTATACATTGTCTTTATATTATAGATGCTTACCAAAACCTCCTCAAATAATTTTATCATACCCTTTTCTATATTTTTAATATAGTTTTGACAATTTCAGCTTTTGTTCTATCGAATGGATTTCGTTGTATCTCTTATTATTATTTTAATATAATTTTATTTAAGTTTTGACTATTATTAAAGGGTTTTATCCCTCATCTATACTTTATATATATATCTTACCCTAATTCTAATCTTAACCCTAATCTAACTCTAAACTATGTGATACTAATATATATGACAAATAGGATTTTACACATAAAAAATTTCTCTATTCCTAGAATATATATGAAAAATGAAAAAGGAAGAGGATATGACATAAGTGACAAAAAGGAGGTAATAATATTACGTCTACAATAAATAAATTTACTCTTTATAATAATATAATATTATTAAAAAAATTTATAATTATATTATTAAATAAAATAAAAATAAGATTAATAAAAACGTCTTACAAAAAAAATAATTACCTTAATATTTTTAATTATTAATAATAAAAAATAATTAATAAAAAATTTAATTTGTATTTTTACTATTACTAATATATTTTAAAAAAGTAAAATTTTTTTTAGAAATATATAAATAAAAAAGATTTATACCTTAATTATTTATCTTATAGTAATATATTTATTTTAAGTTTTTAAAATTATTTAAATCAAATAAAATTTTTATTTGAAAATAAACTAGTAATAATTATTAAGAATAAAATAACAGATAGTTATAATTATAGTATAATGAATAATTTTTAAGAAAATATAAATTAGTTTTTATAGAATTTTGATTTAAATCAATAATTTAATAATAAAATTTACTTTTTTTATAATTTAATAAATTAAATTTTTTTGTTTCTTTTTCTTAGCAATTTTTTTTAAATCTAGTTATTTATATAAAAATATTTTATAAAATATTATATTTTATTATATTTTAATTGATTTATATATCTTATTATTACTGATTAAATAGTTAAATCAACTAGAAATAGATAGTTAAATTTAAATTTAAATTGATTTTAATATTATTTTCAATTAAATTATTTGATTGATAAAATAAAATTAACATCAATTTAAAATATAATTTCAATTATAAATTTATTTAAAATATATTTTAATTTAACTTTAATATAACTGTAAATTAATCTCAATTTAATATTAATTAAAATATAAATTCATTTATTAACTGGTTAGTTTAATAAAATATTATAAAATCAGTTAAAATTTATCAATATAAATTACATTTTATATACTTTTATTCAATTTAAATTTTATTAAAAATTTTTAAATAAAATTTATATGTTATTAATATTATAAAAAATATAATTACTTCATAAATACTAAATTAATTTTGATAAAAATTTAAATTTAAACTTGTTTAACAATTTTATTTAAACTTTAAAAGTTGATTTTTTTGAATCAAAATGCTAAAATTTCATTAAAATAACAAAAAAATAAATACATTTTATTATTAATATTATAAAAAATTTAATTTATTCTATAATACTAAATAATTTTGAAATAATTCAAACTTATTAATAACTTATTTTAGGTTTTAAAAATTGATTTCTTGAATTGAAATATTAAAATTATCAACTAAAATTAAACTAGCAAAAAAGTAAAAAGAGAATTTTTTATTATAATTTTGGTAATATAGATAATAAAATAAATAAATTGGCAAATATACGTAAATTATATGATATCAATAATAATCAGTGATAATTTAAAGTATATATCAATTATATTTTTAATTTAAAAATGTTTAAATTTATTAAATTATTTTATGGCAATCAATTATAAATAAAATAAGTTATATACTAATAACTATAAATCATATAAGCTTAATTTTAACTAATTTTTGATATATGCAAATCAGCTATAATTAAATAAGTCTGATTTTGGTTGATTTTTGATAATATTTGATTTTATGCTAATTTATCATATGTCTGATTTTTTTTGATTTCAATTAGTATATATACATATATTAAATCTAATAGTTTAAATATAATATTTTATTATATAATATTAAATAATATTATTATTAATTAATTTTGTAGCAAAATCTGATTTTTTTAATATTTAAAAAAATTTTTTTGGCTAAAATATAAAAGAATATTTTGTTCATAATTTAATAAGATATAAATATTAAATACATCTATCTTACTTACATGTTATATCTTCTCCTTATAACATTTTTCTTTCTGTTTTTACATATTAAATTCACAGTTAAAATGTTGATCATACTAAAACATATTTATCATATTGAAATTTCTTTTTTTTAACTTGAAGATACTATTACTTCTTATAATTTTAGTTCATATGAATTTTATCCTATTTTCAATCAGTTTTAAAATCAAAACAAATTTAATGCTCATATTTCTTCATATCTCTTTTTCCAGCTGCTCAGATTTTGATCTTAAATATATAGTTTTATTAGAGAATAAGTAAATCCTTATGATGAATTACTTTGTGAATGGACAATTTTATTGTGAATGCAATTGAAAAATTTAGTTGAAGAAATTAATTTTGGATGATGCGATTAAATTCTTTTTGATAATAAAATTAATAAAAATTGATTTTTGTTTTCGCAGAATTATCTGATTATAATCCGCAGAAAGCAGGGCAGATTTTGTCCCTGATTTCGAGATTTCACATTTTCTATTGACGATCCTTACAATATTCAAAATGCTGCTTTATTTAACATCTAGATATTTGTTTCCTACGTCAAGGTTCTTACCCTTAAAGACTTTTCAATATTGTTCAAACATACTTTTTTCAAATAATTATATTCACAATTCCAAACTTCCTTTCCTTAAAAAGAATAAATTTTATTCTACGTTACTTTTAAACGATACGATTTATGCTTTATCAACCGCTCAAGGAAAGGCCGGAGTTGCAATTATACGCGTTTCTGGCTCTAATTCTTTACAGGTTGTTTTGATTACCTGTTACTGAAATTCAAAAAAAAAAAATCTATTAACTTATCGAAAATAAAATAAGGCCATCGAACAAATAACTGCTGACTTTTCTGAAAAACCAGTTCCTCGTAAAGCCACGTTAAAAACAATTATTCACCCGAAAACTAAAGAAGTAATTGACCAAGGGTTAATTTTATGGTTTCCAGGTAGATCTTTAATTAATTTTCACACGTTCGTTCGAATTATAATTTTATAATTAATTTAATTTAATTTTCAAGGACCGAAAAGTTATACAGGCGAGAATTTAGTTGAATTTCATATACATGGAGGTATTTCTGTTGTGAGAGGTGTATTAGACGCGCTAGGGAGTATGGAAAATTTCAGACACGCAGAAGCTGGGGAATTCACGCGTAGGTACATAAATAATTCATCACCATCATCATCATCATCGTCATCATCATTTCTCAATTGAATAATAAGGATTGAATATCTTAAAGGGCTTTTGAAAATGATAAGTTTGACTTGACGGAAATCGAGGGCATTGCCGACTTGTTAAATGCAGAAACCGAAGCTCAGAGAAGACAAGCATTACGTCAGGTCCAGGTACGCTAACATGTATGCGTTGTATAATTTGCGTTTTTATGCTTACATATTCAATTAATTTCGATTGATTAAGGGTGGATTGAAAATTTTATATGAAGATTGGAGAAAGCAATTAATTAATAATATGGCATCCATAGAAGCTATTATAGACTTTGGTGAAGATGAAAATATTGAAGATGGAGTTTTTGAAAAAGGTAAACTTATATTATTCTTTTTTTAAATTGAAAATTTTTAAGATTGCTAATATTTAGTGTTACTAATAGTGGCGGAAAATGTAAAAGTTTTGAAAAATGTTATTATCGAACACTTGAACGATAATCGTCGCGGGGAAATCTTACGAGACGGTATTCGCGTGACAATTTTAGGCCCTCCAAATGTTGGCAAAAGTAGTTTCCTGAATTATTTAGCTCAAAGAAAAGCCGCTATCGTATCACCGATTCCCGGGACTACACGTGATATCGTCGAAATTTCTTTGAATTTTGGAGGGTATCCAATAATAATCAGCGACACTGCGGGCTTAAGACATTCAGAAGATGATGTTGAAATCGAAGGAATTTCAAGGGCAAAAAATCGGTAAAAAAAAATTTACTTATCATTTGTTAAATGAAAGACATATTAACAATCTCCATTCATATAGGATAAAGGAAGCCGATATCAAAATAATAATTCTTTCCAGCTTAGAAATGTTTTATTCTATAAAATCCAATCATAATTATTTCTCTGATATAGATTCAATTATTAAGGATACTATGGATGACAATACATATCTAATTATAAATAAAAGCGATCTTATAGAAAACAAATCAGATTTATCGAAATTAAAACAAATTTCTTTAAAATCTATTCCTGTAAACTATGTTTGGTGTTTATCGTGTCTCACAGGAGAAGGATTCAATGAGTTTCAAGAAACATTTATAAATTCTATTAAACAAAAGTAAGATTATATTTTACATTTGTGCAAACAATTTTCGTGTTTAAATTTAATTCTATCTACAATAACTAGATATGATTCATTATCTTCTCAAATCGCTTTAATCACTCAAGCTCGACACCGTGAGCACTTAAGCGATTGCCTAAAATCACTAGAAAACTTTCTTGGTATTTAATTTTAGTAATTATGTGCTAGTCAACAAATTCTTAAATATTTATTGACATATTCTTTTATTTTCTGCACATATAGAACTTAATGATATGGTATTGGCTGCTGAAGAATTAAGGTTTGCAACTCATGCTTTAGGAAGGATTACAGGTCGAGTTGATGTTGAAGAGATATTAGGAGTTATATTTCAACAGTTTTGTATTGGAAAATAAAGTCCAGTCCCTTAACATATATCACTCCAATATTTTTGGTTCTCTTTCCCTTTCAGCAATTTCTTTTTCATTAGTTAATTTTTCTAATTTTTCTATCTCCTCTTCCGTACAAAGGGTTTCTACTTGTCTTGTTGCCAAAGCAGTATTATGATTAACTTTTTCTAATTCCCATAATGATTTATTAAGTTCTCTTTGTGATTTTCGAACACCTTCATTTAATTTTAACTCTGCCTCTCTCAATCTTTGTCCTTCTGCTTTGATTTGTGCCAACTTTGATCAATTATAATAAATTAATTAAAACATATATAAATGGAAACTAAAATTGTTGTAAGCGAGCAGATTTACCTTTTCTTCGAGCACTGGTGCATAAGCGGGAATTTGCACAAGTTTTGGGGTATGTGAAAAATTTGGAGAGCGATTAGATGCGGGTGGAAATGGAGGTCCAGAGTATGGGCGTTGATGATGTTGTTGTTGTTGCATAGAATTTCCTCTAGTATAATTATTGTAACTAGGAGGTCCATAATCTCGATTGGGTGGCCTAGAATATGAATTGTATGAATGCCCACCACGATAAACTGGTCTTCTTTCATAAGATTGAAGGGGAGATATTGGAGGTCTCCCATATGGTTTTTGATCTCTTGTATTTCCACCATATGAAACTTGACCTCTAAATGCCGATTCTTCTTCTCGCTCATTATATCTACCTATAGGCATTTGTGGTGGTTCTCTCATTTGATAATCTGAATAACCACGAGAAGACATGTAATGAGAATTAGAACCGTAATTATCCCTTTCAGAGGAATAAGGATTATAAGGGTTAGTACGATGAAGTGTAAGATCTCTCGGTCTGTTATAGTTTGGTGGACTTCTACGTTGATCATTAGTTCTATCCATTGCTTTTTTTTTTTAAAAAAAAAAAAAACGAGAAAAGGTAGTAAATCGAAAAAAAAAAAAATAATAATTTTATATACCGTAGCAAATTTTTGCCTATTAATACAGTTGCCAATAATTGCTTAGTATTGCTTATCGTAATATCGTTATCAATGAAAATCATATAGGACTCAAAAATCGTAAATGAAAATTATCAAACTAAACTGCTTAAAATAGTATAAAGAAACGCCATTTCGTCATCACGAAAAGTTTTGGCACCTTTTACAAAACTCTGTTTTAATCTTTTTTTTTTATTATTATTATGTATTCTGTGACAGAATTTGTTCGGTAGTAAAAAAAATTTTTTTTTTAATTCCCCTTATGTGTTACTGGTTACGAATGGGATTGAAAAATTTCTTAATGTTATTGCATTCCATTCGCAAATAAACTTTCAAAAAGCTTAACCTTTCGCAAAATATTAAAGTTTTTTTTTTTTATTTAATGTTCGTTACTACCACTCAGGCTTCTTCCATCCTTGGTATTTCCTTGTGTACACTTTGTCACTGGCACTGCAACAGTAAAATAACAGCATTTCGTTCACCAGGTGGTGTGCGACTTTATGATGTCTCAAATATTGTGGATTCCACC